GACAGGCCACATGGCACCGCCCTTAAGCTCATAGTATCCCCAAATAAAATACTACTCAAATAACCCCTATATAATCCCAGTTTCCATTTCATTTTCCATTTTCTTTTCCATTTGATTCTCCATTAAAGGGCCCTAAACCCTATATAGCTTCCATTTCATTTTCCATTTTCTTTTCCATTCGATTCTCCATTAAAACCCATATATAAACCATAAACTACACTATAATCCCAGTTTCCATTTCATTTTCCATTTTCTTTTCCATTTGATTCTCCATTAAAACCCTTTAATAACCATCCCCAGAAGCCTTTTCGAGGCCTTGGCGGCGGACCTTCGAGGGACCTGGTCGGAGCTGGAGGGCGCTCGCAAGGGCTGGGAGAAGGACAAGGTTAAAAGTTTAGGATTTAGGGTTTAGGGTGAGAAGGACAGGGTTAAGGGTTTAGGATTTAGGGTTTAGGGTGTCTCAGTAGTGAGGGGGTGCGCTGGTGTTGGAAACACCCGGGCACGCGCCCCGACCGGCATGAGCCCACCCCCGCTGGCGCTCCACCCTCCTTTTAGGGTTTAGTACCCAAATTCAGTTAGGTTTGTCAACATCACAAATACATTTCATTTGGTGTTTTCGTTGTTGAAGGGATCTCAAACCTTCTTGCAGGCCCCTGAAAAATGACCGATGATATTTAGCCTGTGGATATAGGGTTTATGGCTAGGGCTCAGGGATGTTAAGGGTTTCTAGGGCTGTGTGGATATTTACATCTACGAACAACGGAGAATGAAATTGAAAAGAAAATTGAACCTGAAGTGAACACAATTGCGGCGGTATAACATGTAGGGTTTGGGTCTTGGAAAAAGTTCTATACGTAATTTGGAATAGGAGTACGTGTAAATATGATTCTATCACATATGGTGGGCTGCAGGCCAAAGACCTTCAGTTTGGATCGTTTAAGGTTTAATGTTTTGAGTTTAGTGCTGCGGGTTGAGGGTCTAGGGTGTAGTGATTAAGGCTTGAGGTTAGGGGCTGAATCTTAGGCTTTTGGGCTTAAGGTTTGAGGATTCGAGGTTTGGGATTCAGACCCCATGAACCTCAGGTGGAGCAGTTTAGGGGGACCATGCTATGACAGATATTAGCACGAAGCTGGGGCAGAACAAAAGGGGTGGAATCCTCTTTGGGGTTTAGGGTTGAAGGTGTATAGGGGAACGGAAAAGGCAATGGACGCTTTGATGCGTTGGGGTTTGCTGTAGGGATTAGGGCTTGCATTAAATACACCCCCCACCCGTAATGTTACATACGTACGGATGTCTTGTGAGGAATGTGGAATATTAGTGGCGGCGAGGGGGGTGGTTTAATGAAAGTTTGGGGGGTCTAGGCGGTAGGTCACGATCGGCCCCCGCACAGGAAGAGTCCCTATTCAGCCTGGTGTTACGCTCTATGATGCTTGCAAGTACCCCCCTTTGGGTGGCTGTTCGGGTTTTTAGGCTGAATCTTTGCAAGGTGTGTGGATTGGGGGTACTGTAAAAGGTTTGAAGGTTTAGGGCTTTTAAGTGTAAACCTTCAACCCCGCGAAAATCAAGGTGTCAACATTGACAGCAGGAACAGTTAAAGCAGTGATGGCTTACGGAAATCTGAAGACCTGTCCTCAGAACAAGCCACACCCTAAACCTTTATATAAACCCTAAACCCCTAATCAGGGCTTGAAACCCTACACCCGCAACAGTCATGAAACTCCAGCCTTAGCAATGGACCTTAAAAGACATCCGCCTGCTTACCAGCATATAAGCCTTAAAGGGGATTATATAGGTGTTTAGAGTTTGGGTTGAGTTTAGGGTCTAAACTCTTAAAGGGGGTTATATAAGGCATTATATAGCGGACTGTTATAGGGGTTATGAAGGGGGATATTAGGATTTAGACAATGGCTCATATAAGAGTAGGGTTTTAGTTAGGGATGTATAGTCCCCATATAAACTAAGATTATCTCTTCCTTTTGGTAATGTAATGTGACCCCTTGTTAATAGACACCCTTCCTTAACAGGAATTATACTTGGGAACCAAATATTAAGGCCCTCAAAAAGGTGGGGGGGGTTTATTAATCCGGGGTCTACATTAGGGTATTTTAAGAACACAGATGTGATCTCACCTGGTTCGAGCACCAGAAACTGACCATGTTTGGAGGGGCTTCAGGAGTTAAGAGCATTTCGCCAAGCTCCCCTCCACCGGTAACCTTAAACGCTACGCCCCGAAACCTCTAAACCCTAAGACCCTCAACCCCTAAACCCGAAACCCAGAAGATGTCAGCCTTAAACCAGCTATGTCGAAGGAGCTTTGGGAAGGCATTGGACATCTGCGAGATTGGGCTGCAGATGCTTTTAAGGTCTACCTGGACCCAAAGGTGTTCGGGGATATATAGAGGTAGTTCAGGGATATATAGAGTTTAGGATTTGTTATTGGGCTCTTTTTGGGTTTTCGGCAAAGGTTCTACCTGCTGTTTGAGGTGCAGACAATGTGATGAGTATTTGGATGTGCGAAGGAGTTTTCACACCAAACACGCAAGACTGTTGTGAACTCGTATTCAGGGGATAGCTTCGGGGCAATATTGAATTTCAAAGCCCTTGTGCACGCTTAATTTCTGCTACAAAGCCAACATGACAATAAAGTTAAAAATTGCAGCTGACCGGGTGACTTCAAATGCTTGAAGGACGTCGTGCGCAACTACTAGGTCAACGGGTCATAGAATGCCATGGCGCTTTTTACACTTCTCGATTCGTCGCACATCCTGTTTTC